GAGGCGGGGAGAGAGAGAGAGAGAGAGAGATCTCAAGAATTTATGATTCCAATTCACATCACCTCCAGTTGTGAGGCTCTGGGTGTCAAGTTCCCGAGTACATGGCAGCATCATGGAGATTAATACAGGAAGGTGGAATTTAAGCAGACCAGCTGCTTGAGTTATTTCTCTTCTGCTGGTCCCTCAAGATACTTAGTAAAAGTATCAAGAAAAGAAAAGTGAAATTATGCAAATAAATATGACCATTTTTGGCAGTCAGCTCTTTAGATTCCCACTTGGATTTTGGCTGTATTTCTATTTTATCTCTTAAACTGCTCATAGTGCTATAAAGTGAGTACCTGAAGCAGACAGATTTGGGTTCAGGTCTTGCCTTACTTGCTGTGTGTCCTTTAGCAAGCCAGTGAGGAAACAAGGGGAAACTAATTCTTCAGATATATTGTTAAGGATATATTTTAGACCCTCTTAAAGAGCCGAAGCCAACTTTTCCAAAAAAGCATTATATTTATATAACAAAACAACAAGGACCAAATTTGGCCAAGGGCTTCAATATATTTAGTTCACATGGATAGCATATTTTTAACCCATAAGTTAGTCAGAAATTTAATGGCCAGTTCTAATAAGAGTAATGTTCAATCCTTCAATTCTTCCTACTTCCCTGAGGGAATGCTGTGGATTCACCCTTCTACCAATGGAGCCCAAATTTACCTGGGCTCATTTTATGAAATATATAATGAAAGCACTAAATTCTAGATATCACATGTATTTGACTTCCAACGAGTTAATGTGATAGATATTGAAGTTTCTTGCTTATACCATCAATGGTGTCTTTGTTCCTTCCTCCTCCCAGATTTGTCCATCCCCAACAGAGGTATCAGAACCGTAACACGTGAGGAGCTGAGTGGTGTGAGACAATTTAGTCCAGCCCCTAATTTTACCTAAAAAAACTTGAGGCCTATGAAGTTTGAGTACCCTGCCCAAAAGTGCTCTCCAGGGCACTAAACACAGATGTCTTCCTTCCCCATCCTCTGTATTTTTCCTATACCATTGGCCTCCACATTTTGCTTAAAAGGAACTTGTAAGCATTCTTATCAGATTTTACAGAGAAAGACCCCTTAGCTTCAACCGCAGTTCCTTCCCAAAGCCGGTTAACAGGGATTGTTGTTGTTGGTAAAAATATAACCTTTGTAGCACCAGCAGGTGTCTGTGAGCCTATGAAGCTATGAGACTCCAAAATACAGAACTCTGGGAAAGAAGTGGTGTGACTCCCTAATAAAAGTGTGCATTTCCCCAAATCCTCTAAAAAACCAGATGCTCAAGACTGTACTTTGGAAATCTACTTGGACAATTTTTTCCTTGAATTTTCCCTAAAGCATCTTGCAAAACCCATAGTTCCCCAAAGTTTCTACTGAAATGGAAGTGTTCCTTTTAAAAGCTGAGCTTCTCTACATGGAAAGAGCTTTACTTTATCTGCCTTTACATTTCAAAAAGCTCTAACACCTGTCACTTTGCTGAAGTGGTGTGTGTTTTTTTCCTTCAAAAACGGTGTACTATCTGGACGTGTGGCTTCGGCGACCAGGTGACTTTGGTAGATGAGTGCGGGAGCCGGAGTCCTTTGGCCCATTAGCGGTTTCCCCTTGCGCGCGCGCTCGCGTCAGGCAGATGCCGGATGTTTGCGGGTGGCCCCGGTTTATCATCTTGCAGGTCTGCGGGAAGCCGGAGCCCTACCAGCCTCACCCCTCTTCCCCGAAAGCCCTCTCCGGCCACAGACTTGGGAGAGATTTGCATGCTGCCTGGGCCAAAGCACGCAGCCAGCAGTGCACCTGGTCCGCGCGGGACACGGTGCTGCGAGTCACGCCCTCTCTCTGGAGCCGCTCTTTTATCTCTCTGCACCACCCCCCCCCCACCTCTGCTAAAAAATAGGCAGCCTCGCTCCTGATACACCAAGAAAACACACACACACACACACACACACACACACACACACACACACACACACACAAGTTGGGCTTGAAACACGCGGCTCAGCGGATAGGGTCGGCACCGCTGGCC